ACTACGGCACGATCTCCCACACTATATCACTGAATGCCCAGTTATTAGATCTTTCAGACCAGTTGGCATGAGGTACCTGGAGCTTTACAATTACTTTATTCATTCTCGTATTCTTGAAGATATCCTCACAGTGTACAAAAAATTTGCTAGTGCAGGCTACTAAACATATGGCCCTGTACGGCTAACCATCCTGCGGGATGGGGACTTTTATTACCACTGCTGCCTTATTCAATCTTGTGATGATGATATCCTCAAAATGCTTCTGGAGTCTGCCAGTGCAGACTGCCCATCACATGCCTCTGTATGACTAACCATCCTGTGTGATGGGGATTTTCAGCACCACGTAGCTAATTTTTTGACACACTGTACTCCCCCTTCATATAGTCTAGGGCAGCTGCACAAATGCAGATGTACCTAAATGTGTTAATAAAAAAAAAAAAAAAATCCTTAAACACAAAGTAGTTTCATTGTCCTTTAAATAATATTTTATGTAAAGGAAAAGGGGCTAATGCGGTGCAGAGGAAGGGGAGGGGAGAGAAGGGTTGATGTGGGAGGAATCGGGAAAGGGATGAGATGGAGCAAGGAAGGGGTGAGAGGGAGCAGGGGAGACGATGGAAGGGAGAAAATGAGGAGGTCGTAAATAAATGGGTGGGTGGCTGGATAAATGAGTAAAAGAGACGAGCGGATATTACATCCATCTATCTATCCATGGATAAATAGATGGAAGTGTAAATGGTTGGAAAGATGGATGGATAGATGTTTGAACAGATGTGAGAGAGAATCCTGGGCAATGCTTGGTACCCCCTCCCCTAGTCTATATATAAGAATGTCCGTCTGTCCAAAATCAAGAGACCAGACGCTTGGGGCTAGCCACACCCAACACTGCAGGGGGAATGGTCTGGGGCTTAGGACGACACAAGACTGGTCGGAGGTTACCAGAATTCAATAGGGAACAGCATGCTAGGGTCACATTCAGACTACCTCCTCCTCAACATTGAATTTGGCACTGCCCGCTGGAATCCATTTTCTCTCATAGTAATGGAATACATGGAATAGTATACATTACTATACATGTAATATAGTAATTGAATCACAGCATCTCCATAACCCTGGACAACATGGTTTCAGAACAGGACGCTCTTGCCTGTCGCAGTTGCTGGACCACTATGACATGGCCTTACATGCCATGGAAGACAGACAAAACGCTGATGTAATTTACACAGATTTCACAAAAGCCTTCGACAAATGTGACTATGGTGTTATTGCACACAAAATGCGTGCAAAATGAATTACCGGAAAATAGGTAGATGGATCGACAATTTCCTGACTAACAGAACCCAATGTGTAATAGTCAGCAAAATTAAAATCTGGACCATCAACCGTGAAGAGCTCAGTCCCCCAGGGTACTGTGCTTGTTCCAGTACTTTTTAATTCTCATACTGAACATAGACATGGACACGAACTATAGTACCGTATCATTCTTTGCAGATGACACTAGGAATTGTATGAGAGTAGACAACATAGAGGACACAGCAAACCTCCAATCACATGTAAATCAAGTCTTTCAATGGGCTACAGAAAATAATATGGTATTTAATGAGGATAAGTTCCAGCTCATGTGCTATGGAAAAAAACGGAAACATGAACAAAACCGTCAAATCAAACCATAAAACTGAAAAGCAATGTAAAGGATTTGTGTGTAATAATGTCGGAAGATGATTAAAGAAAGAACCTTGAAGAACACAATAAAGTAGCCGTCACTACTGCAAGAAAAATTACAAGTTGGATAACAAGAACCTATCAAACAAGAGATGTTATACCAGTGATATTTTTCTAGACCCTAGTGTTCTCTAGAGTGGAATACCTTTACACAATAACAGCCCCTTTCAACGTCGGCGAAATTGCTGACCTGGAGAACGCGCAGAGATCCTTTACTGATAGAATCCACTCAATAAAACATTTAAACTATTTGGGCCGTTTACAATTCTTAACTCTGTATGTTCTAGAAGGACAGACAGGAGAGATACATAATAATTTACACGTGGAAAATAGTAGAGGGGCTGGTCCCAAACCTGCACACAGAAATAACATCACATGAGACCAGAAGGCATGGCAGGATGTGCAGAATACCCCCGTTGAAGAGTACAGGTGCAACAGGTACTCTGAGAGAGAACTATCAACATCAGAGGCCCGAGACTGTTCAACACGCTTCCCCTACACATATGGGGCATAACTGGCCGACCCCTCATAGTGTTCAAGAGAGAACTGGATAAACACCTCCAAAGGATACCTCATCAACTAGGCCATCATGATCCATATGTCAGGCTGCAAGCAACTACATCCAACAGACTGGTTGACCAGGCCATCAACCAGGAGGCCGGGCCGTGGCGACGTTGATCCCCCGAAATCAACGCAAGGTAACCGCAACGTAGCAATATACATTATTATTCACTGATCATTGGAAAATTAACAAATTTCCTGCTGTCCATAATTTGCCCATAGTGACATCAAACAATTCTCACATAGCTTCACAGGTTTCTCAAGTCCTGCCCCTTTCTCAAAGCATATGGGGTAACTATTCTGCTTGTTAATATTTTACGCCACTAAGCATCCCTCACCTGTGGTCATTCAACACAGTGATAGTAGACAATACTTTTATAAGACAGAGAAAAACAGCGTCAAAAACACAGAGATAAACCGGCAGATACACAGACCTGTGCACCATGTGCCCCCCAACCCTCTAGTATATGTGTAAATGGAAATGTCTGTTGCCCAGAAGGGGCAGGGTGGAGGGGGGGGGGGGACAATAACCAGAGAAATCTTAACAAGCAGCACAGAAATCATCGATACATACAGCGATGGCAGGAGACTCGACATCAGCGAGGCACTACACATCAAAAAGTCAAGACCAGCAATCAACAGCCAACCGGGCTGTTGGACACATAACTATTATCTACCAACTTCAAGATCCCGAACCAACATAGAAGCAGCAAGAGAAAATATGGGCCAATTGGCCTACTGTAGTTACTTTCGTTATGTTTTCATATGCAATTCATACTCATTGATTTGTGTCACCTTACCCAAAAACATTTGTGTCATATCACCTCAGCCAAAACGAATATAAGCATGAAATTATATATGTAAACCTGTCTTTGAAAATGTGAGAAGCCTTTGCGAAACGTTTTTAGGCGTCAGACAATAAATAAAAAATGAGAAAATGAACTTTGGAGAGTTAATTTTTCAGTTACCCCCAACAGTGAAGAAAAACGTAAGAACTAATGAGAAAATTCGTGTTAGAATCATTAATCTTATCCTTTCGGTCATTAATCTTATCCTTTCGGTCATTAATCTTATCCTTTCGGTCATTTTCAACAACATACACATACTAAAAGAATAGGGGTGGTAGGAGAAGAAAGTATCAAAGTGTTCAGTGAGGATCCACAAGGTCTTCTCTGAGTACTCATTATTTTCTTCTTCGAGGCTATGGGTCCCTACACTTGCACCAGAGGTGGTACCCCTATATATATATTATATATATATATATATATATATATATATATATATATATATATATATATATATATATATATATATATATATATATATATACATATATATTCATTTAGATTTATGTCTGTTATACTTTTTAATCAGTTACCAAATCCCCTTAATATTGAATTAACAAGAAATTCGCGCGCATTGATAGACAAAACATTACACAGTATGCGATATGCATTTTGCATATTTTAAACCAAACTTAACATATTATCTTAACATAAATATGCAGATTATTTCTCAGTACTCCATAACTTTAGTAAAATTCAACCAATATTAAAAAAATATTCAATGTAACTGTTACTATTAAAAACTCTCGTACAGTGAAAAATAAACTGCCTACCTGGATGGGGCCGAGCCTTTTTCTGAGTTACACGGTTCTGCCTTAAAAACAACGTTGATTGTATTTTATATTTTAACAGGTGGATATAGAAACAGACGACTGTTGACTTTTGTTAGCAGGCTGAGAGCTCAGCCTTCTTATAGCTCATGGTAAGCCTTACCTGCTAGTTTCCCTGGAATACGACCCACCAATCGTTCAACAACCAGGTACCCAACCACTGTTTGGTGACGAGAGGCGTAGTGTTAAGGATTGGAGCCTAGTCAATCCTCCCCGGCCAGGATACGAACCCAGGCCAAATCGCTCGCTAAGCGCGGGGCCTTTCTGAGCCCAACCTCCTATAGGTAGGTTGGGAGGGTATCGCGGCTGCGAGAGCGGGCTTACACTGCACAGTGGCTCGTCAAGTATTACCTGCACTCTGTGTTCTTTATGGTGGATGGGGAGTGAATGTTAATGGCCACCAGAGATGTGTGGGGATTACTGAGCAATGGTGGTGGCTGCATGTGGCCGATATTTTGTTGGTGGGCGAGGTAGGACTGATGATATATAGTTACCTGGTTGATACCTGCTTGATGGGGTTCTGGGAGTTCTTCTACTCCCCAAGCCCGGCCCGAGGCCAGGCTCGACTTGTGAGAGTTTGGTCCACCAGGCTGTTGCTTGGAGCGGCCCGCAAGCCCACATACCCACCACAGCCCGGTTGGTCCGGCACTCCTTGGAGGAATAAATCTAGTTTCCTCTTGAAAATGTCCACGGTTGTTCCGGCAATATTTCTTATGCTTGCTGGGAGGACGTTGAACAACCGCGGACCTCTGATGTTTATACAGTGTTCTCTGATTGTGCCTATGGCACCTCTGCTCTTCACTGGTTCTATTCTACATTTTCTTCCAAAATGTATTGTATCGTGATGGATACAGGCACCACAATATAAATCACGCAGCAGAGATGAAATTGATTCACAAACACAGCACTTTACAAAACATACATACCCAAATCACTTAACATATACACGCAGCACTTCTCAACACACACACACACACAAACGCAGTAACTCACACACTCAAACAGGGTATAATAAAGACAATAAACAAGAGAAGCACTAGTTTACCTTCCTCAGGCACGCCCTCCGGCTGGGGACACGTGTATGACCCATCCAGTCTTCTACCAAATAAAGCGCTGTATATGGCCAGTCTGGAGTTTTTCTCACATGTTAGAGTCAGTTTGCCAGGCACGCACGTTATCTTGCTTATGAAGGTCTCTGCAAAAATGAACTTTGTTTTTGTTAAGTGCCTCGACTAGCGTTTTTCAAACATGAAATCGTACAAAACAATTAACTCACATCTATTATGGCATTATAAACATGTAAAAATCTAACGTTGATACCTAGTAATAAGACATGATGGATTCTACAAAGCAGTTAAGCAACGACTGCATTATTTACGTTGATAACATTAAGAACCCAGAGCTTTTCAATGCCCTCCCTTCATGTTTTAAGAGAACATTGTTATCAGGTTATCCTTTGTTGTCTGGAAAGAACTTATGAATTAGCTCCCGAAATCTCTGTAGCTTTCCTATAGTTTGATCACAAGGAAATACAAATATCTACCTGAAAAACTCGTGGGCCACGTATGTGTGTGTGTGTGTGTGTGTGTGTGTGTGTGTGTGTGTGTGTGTGTGTGTGTGTGTGTGTGTGTGTATGTATGTATGTGTGTGTGTGTGTGTAATTACCTAAGTGTAGTTACCGGACGAGAGCTACGCTCGTGGTGTCCCGTCTTCCCAACACTCTTTTTTCATATAACGCTTTGAAACTACTGACGGTCTTGGCCTCCACCACCTTCTCACCTAACTTGTTCCAACCGTCTACCACTGTATGCGAAAGTGAATTTCTTATATTTCTTCGGCATCTGTGTTTAGCTAGTTTAATTCTATGACCTCTCTTGTTCTTGAAGTTCCAGGTCTCAGGAAATCTTCCAAATCGATTTTATAAATTCCTGTTACTATTTTGTATGTAGTGATCATATCACCTCTTTTTTCTTCTGTCTTCTAGTTCTGGCATATATAATGCCTCTAACCTCTCCTCGTAGCTCTTGCCCTTCAGTTCTGGGAGCCACTTAGTAGCGTGTCTTTGCACCTTTTCCAGTTTGTTGATGTGCTTCTTAAGATGTGTATGTGTGCGTGTGCGTGTGCGTGTGCGTGTGCGTGTGCGTGTGTGTGTGTGTGTGTGTGTGTGTGTGTGTGTGTGTGTGTGTGTGTGTGTGTGTGTGCGTGCGTGCGTGCGTGCGCGTGCGCGTGTGCGTGTGTGGGGGGGGGGGGGGCGCGCGCTGGGGTGCCAGTTTACTGTATTATATCTCAATTAGTAGTATTCAGTTTACCTTTCGAGTGGGATGTCTGTAACACACTGAAACAAGGTGAATTTGATTAATATATTATATAAAAGACTACACAGGGACGCTAATACACATCAGAGCTGTGATATAGAAAACACTACGTTTTAAACTGTGGAGGAAAAAAAGGAGGATCATTGGCCTGATAATTCATCTTTGAAGAATTAAGGGAGAAAAAAAAGACAAAAGTAAGAAAAGGAAGCCGCAGTGTTACTAATACTACTAATATCACCATTTTATTTACTGTTACTGCTACCAAAACCTTATTTTGGTAACTTACTGTTACCAAAACTCTAGAAATCATCAGGTCTGCATCCTTGAATACAAGGGCTAGACAATACCAAATCAGCTTCACAGACTTGGGCAGATATATGTTGTTTGCTGAGCAATGGTGGAGCCAGCAAGTGGGGGGGGGGGATGATTGCACGTGGATAATGAGCTCAGATCTCTAACTTGACTGACAGCCTTCCAAACAAGGCGTGACTCGACCTGATCTATGAGACGGGTTAAGACACTCAACGGGGATGATAACTACGACCCCAAACGATGTATACGACCCTGAAGATATATAATGAAACACTAAAACTTCTACGAAAGGCCATAACTCTAGGCATGGTGAGTGTCTCTACAGAACAAATTGTCGTAAACACATGACTCAGAGAATAACAAACCAATGAAAGAGGTTACAACACATTGGGAACGATATCCAAGAGTACAGTTGATTCAGTGTTACTCCGGGTACCCGCTAAGACCTATGAACAGTTGCCAACAAAACAAGATATCAGAAGTAATAGAGTTCTTAACAAGGCACACGTTCTTGTTCTTGTGGGGGGTAACTGGACGTGTTCACCTTCATGTAACTCATGTGTCACAGGAGCGGATACACTGCTACTAGTGCGTGTAGATTGTGTCACACACATGAGCTTAATGTGTGTGTGTGTGTGTGTGTGTGTGTGTGTGTGTGTGTGTGTGTGTGTGTGTGTGTGTGTGTGTGTGTGTGTGTGTACTCACCTCTGTGAGCCTACAGGATTGAGCTATAACTCTTGGACCCCACATTTCTAACCGCCTGATATCTAATACAATGACTCCCATGCCCATTTTCTTATTATATCGTTTTCAATTTATGAACGGGGTTAGCTTCTACAAGTTGCTCATTTAGTTCATTCTATTCCCTACTACTTTTACGCACAAATATAAAAATCTGATATCTCCATAGCTCGGATGTTTTTCAAGCTCATATTCATACAATAGGAGTTCTATTTGTATGCCTTGTGAACATTTCTTTATTTTCTCTGTAAATCCCACAAATTGTGAGTCCCTATTAGGGCTCCTCTCCTCTGGCACTTCATGGCTTGGCACTTTCTCCCTTCGAGCGACGTTAGGTTCAGTTCTTTTAGTCTTGCTTCAAACACCATCCCTCGCAATTCTGGGATGAGCCTCGTTACAAACCTCTGTACCTTTCCAAGTTTCCTTGTGTTCTTTTTCGAGGTAGAGAGTAACTGAGTTTGTGTGTGTTTGTGTGAGAAACCACGTACAAGACGCAGTCAAATCATAACATAGAACGAAAAGGCAATGTAAAGGATTTGGGTGTACTCATGTCGGAAGACCTTACCTTTAAAGAACACAATAAAGTAGCCGTCACAACTGCAAGAAAAATGACAGGTTGGATAACAAGAACCTTTCACACTAGAGATGCTATACCGCTGATACTTTTCAAGACGCTTGTGCTCTCTAGAGTGGAGTACTGCTGCACAATGACAGCCCCTTTCAAAGCTGGAGAAATTGCTGACCTGGAGAGCGTGCAGAGATCCTTTACTGCTAGAATCCACCCAGTAAAACATCTAAATTACTGGGACCGACTAAAGAGTCTAAATCTGTATTCTCTTGAGCGCAGGCGGGAGAGATACATATTAATATATACGTGGAAAATATTAGAAGGGGCTGGTCCTAAACCTGCACACAGAAATAACACCACATGAGACCAGAAGGCATGGCAGGATGTGCAGAATACCCCCGTTGAAAAGCAGAGGTGCAACAGGTACTCTGAGAGAGAACTCTATCAACATCAGAGACCCGAGACTGTTCAACACGCTTCCCCTACACATAAGGGGGCATAACTGGTCGACACCTCACAGTGTTCAAGAAAGAACTGGATAAGCACCTTCAAAGGATACCTGATCAAGCAGGCTGTGATTTATACGTCAGGCTGCGAGCAGCCGCGTCAAACAGCCTGGTTGACCAGTCCAGCAACCAGGAGGCTTGGTCGACGACCGGGCCGCGGGAACGCTAAGCCCCGGAAAAACTCCAAGGTAACTCCATGGTAAAGGTGTGTTTCTGTGTGTGTTTACCTAAGTGTAGTTACAAGATGAGAGCTACACTCGTGGTGTCCCGTCTTCCCAGTACTCTTTGTCATATAACTCTTTGAAACTACTGACGGTTTTGGCCTCCACCACCTTCTCACCTAACTTGTTCCAACCGTCTACCACTCTATTTGCGACAGTCAATTTGATTATATTTCTTCGGCAGCTATGTTTAGTTAGTTTAACTCAACGACCTTTTATTATTGAAGTTCCATGTCTCAGAAATTCTTCCCTATCAATTTTATTGATTCCCGTTACTATTTTGTATGTAGTGATCATATCGCCTCTTTTTCTTCTATGTTCTAGTTTGGCATATTTAATGCTTCTAACCTCTCTTCGTAGCTCTTGTCCTTCAGTTCCGGGAGCCATTTAGATGCATGTCTTTGCACCTTGTGTGTACTTAACTAGTACTCACCTAGTTGTGCTTGCGAGGGTTGAGGTCTGGCTTCTTGGTCCCGCATCTCAACTGTCAATCAACTGATGTACTGGTTTCTGAGCCTACTGGGCTCTATCATATCTACACTTGAAACTGTGTATGGAGTCAGCCTCTACCACCTCACTTCCTAATGCATTTTATTTGTCAACCACTCTGATAATAAAAAAGTTCTTTCTAAAATACCTGTGGCTCATTTGGGCACTCAATTTTCACCTGTGTCCCCTAGTGCGTGTGTCCCTTATGTTAAATAGCTGAGCTCTTTATCTACCCTATCAATTCCTTTGGGAATTTTGTATGTGGTGATCATGTCCCCCCCTAACTCTTATGTCTTCCAGCGACATGAGGTTTAGTTCCCGTAGTCTCTCCTCGTAGCGCGCGCGCGCGCACACACACACACACACACACACACACACACACACACACACACACACACACACACACACACACACACACACACTCCTCTGTGTGTACTCACCTATTTGTGCTTGTGGGGGTTGAGCTCTGGCTCTTTGGTCCCGCCTCTCAACAGTCAGTCAACAGGTGTACAGGTTCCTTAGCCTACTGGGCTCTATTATATCTACACTTGAAACTGTGTATGGAGTCAGCCTCCACCACATTACTTCCTAATGCATTCCATTTGTCAACCACTCTGACACTAAAAAAGTTCTTTCTAATATCTCTGTGGCTCAATTGGGCACTCAGTTTCCACCTGTGTCCCCTAGTGCGTGTGCCCCTTGTGTTAAATAGCCTATCTTTATCAACCCTGTCGATTCCCTTGAGAATCTTGAATGTGGTGATCATGTCCCCCCTAACTCTTCTGTCTTCCAACGAAGTGAGGTTTAATTCCCGTAGTCTCTCCTCGTAACTCATACCTCTAAGCTCGGGTACTAGTCTGGTGGCAAACCTTTGAACCTTTTCCAGTTTAGACTTATTCTTGACTAGTTATGGAGTCCATGCTGGAGCCGCATACTCCAGGATTGGTCTGACATATGTGGTATATAATGTTTGAAATATTCCTTACACAAGTGAGTGTGTGAGTGTGAGAGTGTGTACTCACCTAGTTGTACTCACCTAGTTG